TGTAGATGCACCGTGCCAAAAGTGCTTGTAAATGCAAAGTGACGATTTATTCACGGGGTAATTACGCTTACATTATTTTCAAAATCTACCAAAAGTTTAGTATCATCAGGAAGGTAATAATGTAATCTACCTTGTGAAATAGAAGAAAGCGAACGAATTGCTATGACCTCAGAAAAAATTTGTTATGAGCGTCAGTGCGCGCTGTAATCTTAATTTTGGCCGACCGTGTAATATCAGGAATGTATGAAAGTTTGAAATCGGGTAATAAAAGAGCTAATTGCTCAGAAGACAATAGGTTCCGAGCTTGTAATAAGCTTGATTCTTTTTAAAATCGCAGGAGATTTTGCTAGGATGAGAGTCTAGTTGGCCCAAACGTTGCGATTATTCTCTCGATAATAGCAGGCCCAAACGTTGCGATTATTCTCTCGATAGACTGCAGAAAAGCACAAGCTAATTCGATTCCATGGGTAGAATGTAAGTTTTTCCCTGAATGTCGCTTAGCGCTTGCTGCACCCGATCGCACGCAGTCGGGAGTGGCGCAACTTTTCCACGATTTCCCACGTTCGCTTTGCAGCAAGCAACAAATCTTTTCTATCTGTCTCGCGACTTCAAACTGCAATTGCCGTACCCAGCCCGATCCCGGCCAATCGATAAGATACCATAATTTTCTTACTGCATTTCTTTTTTGATTGGTTTGGTTGTTTCTTTCTGTTTCTCTTCTGTTTTTATGTTTATTAGTCTTGATTGTTTAGACTAGCTGCTCCACTATTATATACGATCATTGGGGTTGAGGAATATGGCCAGCAATGGTGAATGATTAAAGGGCTCCCTAACTTACAGGTAGCGCGCTCCAATCGTTCACCGCCTTTCTGGGATACGTGCGGCAAGCGCGGCGCAACTTTCGGGGAGAAGATATCAGACTACAGGCGGATGAACGCGATCAAGGAGGAAGGATGAATTACCTGTGAAGAGGTACGGAAGCCATCATGGAACCACTGCCGTTTGCCCTCTGAGTTCGGGGGTGAGGGGGTCCGATGCCTTTTTTCCGAAAACTGCACCCGCCGGTATCGCAGAAAGGCGATGGAAGATTGGAGCGCGCAACATGTGAGTTAGAGAATCCTTCAATTCCAATGCGGTCTTGATTGTCGATAATATGTATATGTATGTAGGAGGAGTCATTCCAAACAATCAAATCTAGTTAACATAAAAAAGGAGAAGAAGCAGAAAAACAATCAAACAAACACAAGAGAGACACTCAACGGAAAATATCTCGTCTTATCGATTGGAGAGGAGGCAAGCTGGGTACGGTAGCTGCAGTTTGAAGCCGCGGGACTACTAACAAAGATTCGTCGCATGCCGCAAAGTGAACGTGGGAAAACGGGAAGAAGTTCCCTTTCCTAGGGATGAAATACTGCTACCACGTTTTTGTGGCCGCCGCGCTGCACTCTATGGTAAGGAAGAGATAGACACACTACACACTAAACTATCGTGGAACACTAACACCACGGCTTTTCTAATATTCTATGCTTTTGTCTCTATCAGCAGTTATACCAACCTCCTTTCTTTAAGACACACAAAGTCTTCCATACTTCACGTAAATCTCCAATGGGGTCTATAGGGTCACCATACCTGAAAAAAATTTGAGCTTATCAAATCAAATAAAAAGCAATGAGCTCTTACCGTCCCAGTCCACTGTGTTCAATTGAAGAGAATGAGATGGCAAAATCAAAACCATCCTTATACCTGAAAAAGCAATAAAGTGGCGGGGTGGTGGAAACAATATTTTTGCCACTGCCTCAATATCTTTAGGAGTTAGCCATGCACTCGAAAATATTCAGAGTCGGAAGACGAGAATACTTTTGTTGTGCCGAGGGTTCACCATCATCCGGCCCATCAACCTGAGCTTGACGTTGGTAGCGACACCTTTTTTTGCAGTCTTTGAAGGGNGGGATCGAACTCGTCTTTCCCCTGAGTGAGTCAAGCCTTTCAGCCACTCCACTATCTCTCCCTAGTCACGTTCATTAAAAAAGACTGTCATCTGGCACATTCAAATGTTTCCCCGATATCGAAAGAATTTCAACAACGTGGCGTGTATTCAAGAGAGTTGTACGGGCATTTCCCACGCTTAATTTGTAGTCCAGATCGGGCCGATATTTCCATTTAATTAGACTTTTGATATTGATATCATTTTATCAAATTGTATTTACTTAGTGCGAAAATGTTGCTTCAAAAACTTAGCCTACGTTTCCCAGTTTTTCGCGAAATCAATGGGATGCATGTAGCGTACTTTGTCTGTACCATTGATTTTGATTCGTTGGTATTCCAGAGTAGTTATCTGGAAGAAAATCGATTATCATATATTATTGTTTCAGTCAATCAATATTGCTCAGGCAATTGAAATCCAGCCACTAATGCCGATAGCTTACCTCTTTGGCGCCGTTCAGTAAAGCAAAGACTTCAACCCAAGGAGTCTGTGAGCCAATGATAAAGCCGGTCTTATCATTCAATGGATAATTTTTAAGAGCATGATACATAGCCACTAAATAACAAAAATATAGTGAAATAGTCGAAAAGTCGATAGTAGAGTTTTACGAGATGTAATTCTTCATAGAGGTATTCCATCAGGTATCGTCATTCGAACGGAGGATGAAAATCAGAGATCCTTTCCGTTGATCGGTACCATTCCTGGCCTGTGCGGACACTCATACACAAGCCAATCAGTTTGTCCTCCTGGACGAGTCTCGTGCCAATTAAAGGGGTTAACGATAAGTTTCAGGTACCCAGTTTAGGTAGAAGAGAGGAAGTGTTGTTGTAGAGGAGTACATCGGTGGCGAAGAAAGCGAGAAAATTTACCTACTTCAAGGCCTTTTAGAAATAGTGGAAGTGGAGGTTGTACGAGATCACGTGACTGTAATGGCATGTGAGGGGTGTTTGGACGAGATTTAAATTGCTCCCATTGCTCAAAG